GAGAATAGGTGCATCCTTTTTATCATATCTAATATGTTTAAAATCTAAAGTAAATGATATCTTAGGTATTTAATACTTATATCATTGTTCAAATATTCAACTATTTTTCAAAGTGCTAATTGGAGGTCTTTGATAGCAAATTGCTTAATTAAAAATACATATCTTTTCAAACTTGCTTTCACTGGGCAAGATGACAAGTATCATTTTTAACCATCAGCCTTCCTTCACTAAAACGATTAATCCAATCATTAATTGAATTTATAGGAACTCATTTATCTCAATAAACTGTGTACAAATTATTATGTGATACTGTAGAGGGATTTCTAAGATATTACATTAAATTGTACAGTCGTTTGTTGAACGAGTTCGACTGAGACAACCATTTTTCGTCACAAGTGACCTAAATAGTGACGTCATTTTCACATTGTGACGTCACAAACAAGGAGAGAAACTTTATTCAGCATATGCTGTTTATAGACCTTGTGTATGGCTATGTGTGTACCGAATTTCATTCTAATCTGAATTGTGGTTTTGTAGATATAGAGATAGTTTGCGAACTTTTTGATCACCCCTCGTAAGGAGGTCATCTTGCAGTTGGTACTTAGACCATCTTTAAAAAAATGTTTGGTTGCCCTCACTCGACCGACTGACTAAAAATGGCCCGACTCAAAAAACTATTTTTTTTACACTCCAGGGCACGATAATTATGTATTTTTTTTATTCGTCTTACCTACCCCGCTAATATGTTGAAAATTTCTGGAAAAAAGATTTTCCCACCTACCTACCGACCCAATAATTTTACCCTGAGTCGAGAGAGGGCGAGCAAACATTATTCTAAAGATGGCCTTAGTATCAAATATTTATGTCAGCTCTCCCGAGATCGGAAAAACTGGCTTGATTTTCAAGATAGAGGATGCGTACCCTATGTTTTGTTTGAATGTCTCCAACACATGGTAACATTAAACTTGAATTCGTAATTTGCACTTAAAATAAAAAAAAAACATGTATAACTACTTCAGCGAAATGTTGTTCGGCCAATATCTTTAGACATAACAGAATAAAAAAAAATTCTTTCATGGATGTCATAACTTTGAATTAGCCATATATTAGAAGGTCAAAGTCACTTTATAGTCGCTGACCGATTGATTGAATGATTGGATATATGTCCTTGTTTTATAGTTGTTGCTCTTGTCAGTTTTTTTTATTGCGACCCCAATTCAACGTCACTTTAAATCATTCTCTTTTTCACTTATGTCAAGTTTATGAATTACCTTTGTGAAACCACAACAGAAAATTACTTATTACATCCGGCAAGTAGTTCATTCAGAGTTCCAGCAGGGCTAGCTGCAACACAGTTCGAGGTCGGAATTATTCCCTCGCAACGGATTTGGAGGGGGTATAGTAAAGCCCTTCTTTGTGAGAATGGTTAGTCTACCCTTATGTGCGTAACGGTGCGTAAGTGGCGTATTGTCGAATACGCATTGCCTTGATTTATAGATCTATACGCTATTGTGCGATACCCTTAATTATAACCTTAAAACTAACGAAGAACCCTGGGTTCCTTTAAGGGGATGAAGGACCTTTAGCTGAAAAAATACCTGTCATTTAATTTTTTTCATATTTTGTATATATCTTATTTAGTATGTCCCACATACTATAAAGCAGACACATCAATAGGTTTCTAGACTTATATCTGAGAAATTGAGTGACAAATACCATACCCCACAGTGTCTGAGCGGAGTTTTGATTCTCCGTGTTTCTGGGTCCATTACTCGGTCGATAATTGAATTTTTTCAGCATAGATAAAAAATATGCCAGCGGAAATGTGTCTTTTAAAATATTTTAGAGTATGAATAGGGTTAAAAATTCGAAAAAGCAAGATTCTTTTGTAACACCACATCTGGAGACGGAAATTTACGTACTTTTTAAGACAACTTAAACATTAAAAAATTAATTTGCAAAAAATCCTATCATTTAATATTTGAAAAATTTACGTCGAAGTGTAAGTTTGTCACTGTATTGATTAACTGTAAAGATATCGATTGGTGAAGCTGAGCTCAATATTGCACGGGGCAAAGTTAAACGAGTCATGATCATGAGAAAAACGTGTCAGGTTTACATTTCTCGAGTACGGGAAAACCCAACTATGACGTCACACATTTCTGAAATAAGCGAAATAAGACATACCCATGGAACATTCTCGTCAACAACCATGTAAAAATATTTTTTGCGTTCTGCAATTCACAAAATACCCCACCGAGTACATATTATGGCCCGTTTTTATGATTTTATACTACCCGTTTTTACCATGTATGATCTTACTGTACTAAGAGATCCACTATGACGTCAACGACGCGCTGGACGCGCGGTGTAGGGAAACGGCAGAGTGGATTAATCTATTCCGTAATTTGATAATATTTGCAAGAAATTTTAAATGTTTTCAGATATTTTTATACTAGATGGTGAACGCAAACAAACAGTCAAAATATTATACAAGTACTGTGGTTTCAATCTCGTTTTGTACATATTTCTGAAATCATCAGAGATTTTGACGTAAATCAACTGAGTCACGTGACCATACATCCTTCGTCCCCTTAATTTATGTTGGTTATACAAGACAATACTCGACGGTTTCTTTGTAATAAGATTGAAAATAAAAAAAAACAAGGACAAAGCAAAGAGGAGCATCCCATCGCAAAAATCAAGGCAATTTGTATCCGGATGCAAATTATGTCAGTTTCGTTAGGCACAACGCACAAGGACAAACTACCTTACGATCCACAATAAGCGCGTTACTCCCCTACAACTCTGTATGGTATGAATGCTTTGTCAAATCAGAATGGTGATATGTATATTAGAATTTAAAATGCCAGAACTGTTCAGAAAATTACGTTATTTACGCCAAATAATCAAATTATTAAAGGAAAAAGGGATTGCTTTGTACGAGTGGTGTTTGTTATGAATTTTTTTAAAAATATTTTCAGAAAGAATGCCTGTCTCGGAATTCTTTTTTATTTAATTTTCCCATCAGAAGTGTGTACTGTATGAGACGCCATTTTATTTTGATTCAATCACACGAAACGTTATATAAAACAACAATAAAGTATATAGAGCCAAGTTTACGTTCCCAACTTGACATAATTTTGTTCATAACCTAGAGATTTAAGTATACATATAAAACAGGAAAGTTTCCGTGGCACCATGAGATAGAGAACGTAAAACATGTCACGAAACATATGGCAATTGAATTGTTGGGATAATTTGGTTCTAATTGACAGCTCAGACTAGACAAAATCAAATCAGGGAAGATCACGAAAGAGGATGTCTAGGGACTATTAAGAAGGATAACGAAATATTCCGAACGGACTGGAAACACTGAACTGTTCCGAAAGATGTTTACGATGTCATCCAAGTTTTGTAAATGTTCACTTTATTGCCAACCATTTAAGATAAAAAAAACCTTTCATTATGCAACATAATCCTTTCCTTTAAAAATAATATCCCTATATGAAATCTTTTATTCAATTTAAATAGTATTAATTTCAATTAATATCATGTCTTAATCACTCTAACTTGCATTACCTTTCATGCTCTTCCAAATGATGTACCAGAATGGGCAGATGTCATATGCACTATTATGTGGTGGTTGTATTGTATACATATATCTTAAATGGGTGAGTAAGAATGTTTTCCCCCGTTCTTTTAGAATTATCAATTCTGGAACGTTTTTTTTAATAAAAAAATTAGTCGTCGTAAAGTGATGTTAAGGAGGCTGGGGGTCAACAAATTAACCATCAAATATAACAATACATTAGATATGATATCTTAAGCTGTCAACTATCGTTAGGCTAAAAAAAGTTTCATCCTTTTTTTAGTTTTAAAATTTGATCATTTTGTTTATCTTTATATGGAGCTCTTCTTCTTAAGGAGATCAAAATAGTCTGAAATGGCCACAACCACCGAGTCCTCTTAATGAAGTCGGTCGTCCAAATAGTATGTCATTGTATCCAACATCTGTATTCTACAAAGAACCAGGCATTGCCTTTCTGGGAACATTCTTATAAAACACCAGTGAAATTCTGGAAAAAATGTGTTGTGTATATACAAGTATTTACATATTTATTGTTTTAATGAGAACATTTATTCATTATTCATATCAAATATTTCATAAATGTATTGATAAATGGCTGTACAATTCAATATGAAAACAAAATTACAAAACAGATACTGTAACTCTGTAAAAAAAAAATACTGGATCGTTCTTTGAGACAGTCTACATTTTCACAACTAGAAAGTAATTCCTGACACGATGCAGTGAAATCAACAAAAGGTCAGTCTAATACAGATCTGACAATTTCTATTAATTTTCGAAAAGATAGAAAAATCAAACGTCTTTTACTGATTTCTGAAAAAAGTTTTTATTAAATTAAAAAAAAAAAAAAAAAACCATCTGAGAGAGAAATTTTCATTAAAATATCCAACCTGATTTCATTGTTGATTTTGAACAGAACAGATTTTATTAAATAAATGCCGTTCACGAAATCCGGGGGATGATGACGTAATTGCCTGGCCCCACGTGACTGTTGATTCTATATACAAGCATTTTCATCACAACACTCTCTAATCAACAGAGATCTAGCATTCTAGCAAACCAATAATTGTGATGCCAACACTCTAACATGCAGAGAACACGCTACGATGGATATTAACATATAAATCTAAAAATGGTAATGTGAATTCTTTCAATTTAAATAATGTTTTCTAAGTTACATAATATCAATTTTGAGCTCAGTTGAAGACAATTATTTGGACGTGGGTTGCTACTTTTCACACGAATACTCCACCATTTGTCCAGCGCCGCCTAGTGGCGATCACCTAGTACTATTAAAGGTTGTTAATGGAATGTTACCAAAATGTACGCGTTTTACCCCGTCCTTCTTAATAAGTGTATCGTAAATTGCCGTGTCTGTTTCTGAAAGAAATAGCAAACAAAATCTAAATAACATATTTTGATTTAATTTCAGTTTAATTCATGATTCAGAATAAGCATAAAATTCAACAAATATATCACACATTATCGCATGACGTGAGTGAAAGGGTGATTAATACATTACGTAATCATTGGTGTAATTTCAATAACCCTTGCCCCCAAATCAATTGGCAAATAAATAAAGTATATCTTGACAACAATTATACATTAATGTTCTTAGTGAAAGCAGTTGACAGTTGATAGAGTTTGGTACCATACATTTAAAACAGGAACACACCATATGTACAAAACACTGTGCACAATCAGTAAGTTCTAGTAGGCTGTTAGAAAGTACATTAAAGGGTCAACAAAAAAGCAAAATAATGGAATGATAAGAAATGTAACGCCCTAAACAATATATGATCGGGTTAGTCGTGCAAAAGCATTTTGATACAAAAAGCTATTAACAGTGAATATCACGGGTTAAAGTAAGCATTTTGAATCACTTAATTTTCACCATATAGTCATACGACATTGCAGTACACGTTTTTGTTGTTGAAGCTCACGATCACATTGTGACTTCAATACTTCAGATTAGCAGTAACTATACATAGTGCTTTGACATACCAACACTGACAGACTTTTATACAGTTAGAACTGACCTATGGTTACACCACAGTCTACAGCGGGGTGGATTAACTTGTGAATGGTACCAGATTGTAATCATTCTTACAAGAACTCGTAAAACGCCATGTCTTGAAATCTGCGAGTATTAGAAGACAGATTTTTATTTTCATTCATAACCGTGTCAAAAAAAATGGCATGGAAATATCCGTTCTGATAGTAGATTGTATACATATAGAGTCCTGTACACAGAACAAACAATGAATAAATGGATTTGGTGAACACCATTCGACCCATGCTCATAAATATTCAGCACTATGTCTCCGCCCCTTCTTGTGAATAACAGGTGACGAACTGGCGTCGTCTACTGACTCAGTGGTAGTGTAAATGGTACAACCGTTTCCGTGGTGTTTTTCTGTCAATGCGTAAGTATTAGAGCTATTTCTTAATAATGTGACAGGAAGCATACCAGGTTTAGATCTGTCCTTAAACTTGGCGCACGATCCGCAGGGACAGCAACAAAAGAGTTTGACAAAACCATGTCTGAACCTGAAGAATGGTAAAAGAAGAATGTCAGCATCACGGATAATAATAATTGGAGGCTTCGATTAACAAGGCCCTTTGAAGAGTTACTACATTCTAAAAGTGCTTATAAATTAATTCCTAGCTGCAATAATGTAGCCCTCTCCCTCTTTTTTTTTTTGGGGGGGGAGAGGAACATCAGATAAAAAAATCGGAGAGGGCTACATTATTGCAGCTAATTAATCCCAAAAAAAAAATTGGATGTATATTATAAGAAACTTTCACCAACCTAGAATTCATCCAGCAGTAAATGATAGGGTTATACATGGAGTTGCTCATAGCGAGCCAGTAAATCACATTATACACGTGTAGTATGTGCTCCCAGTTGATTATGTCTGTGGTAGATTGGAGGAGGAAGTAGATGTGGTAGGGCAACCAGCAAACGGCGAACGTCACCACCACTACGATCATCATTTTTACCACCTGTAATAAATCAACGTAAAGGGTGAAGATAATGAAAAGTTATCGATCTAAAAAAATTATAAACAATACAAATTCGTGAAGAGGACCTCTGAAAACTCCAGAGGTGGAATTAAGAGCTTAACATCCCCCGTTAACCAGTCAAGCCTTTGATCATTGCATTGATCAAGTTGACGAGAGTTTCCACAGTCAAATTCAGTTTAAAGACTAAAGGTTTGACAATTGGTATGAAACAAGTCAGCAAAAAAAAAAAAAAAAACAATGATAGTTTATATTTAAATCAATTCCAGTTAAGTGTACCGTTTTGTAATACGTCACAGCCTATTTTGACATCTACGCACAAGGGAAATAGTACACGCCTCCTAACCGCAAGCTTTATTATTGGTTGTTTTTCTTCACCCCTGATTGGTTGCTCGTGCAACAGACTATATTTCAGGGAAAATCACAGACAAGAAACATGAAGCTTGCTGTTCGGGGGCGTGTAATATTTACCTTAAGCGTCACTATCAAAATAGGTTGTAACGTAATTGCAATAAAGTATACTTCACTGGAATTGATAATATTTGCTAACGAGATCATTATAACGACCATAGAATTTTAAACGAGGTTGTTGAAACCCCTGTAACATCAACTTATCAGTGAGTAGCCTGTCTCGCTTTAACAATTGATCGTACTCAGAGAAAGCTCATAAACAGAAGAAGTTGGGAGACTTAAACACCATAAACAGGTGGTAGTGGAATAAGAAGAGTTGACGATGAAAAAGCTGAAATCACCTAGTATGTCTATATGTACAGTTTTGTTATTAAATGGCCTATAGGCAGTAAACATCCGAATTTGAAATAGATGTTTTCATGTAAGACTCTGTGGTGTCTTTAATCTCAAGACAAGCGAAGACAAATGGAATATAAATTTCATATAATCGAGTGACATATCACTCCTTGTATAATTATGCTAAATTAACGCTTTATCTTATCTAATCAAAATCAGTCTTACGCAGACTGATGCGTCGTCAAAGCGCTACCTATGATCTGTGTACCTGCTTGCAACCTCTCGGATTTTTCTGACCTCAGACAATCAAATAACCAAGATGATCGCTCAGATTTTTTTTTTCATCGTGCCACTGTGATACACATGTTTACTAAATGAGTGTGTTTCTTGTTCTTCTTGGTTTTTCTTTATTAACAAACAAGCATTTAAAAAAATATCAAAAACGATAAAATTTTCGAAAAGTTGATAAAAAAAATAATGAGTGGCTTAAAATCCTCTAACAAGATCTATATCTTTACAGAGATAGGATTTTTTGCATGACAAACAATCTGCTTAAACACTGAAAAATTATCGTGTCAATGTGGCATAGTACGTAAAGTGGTTCAAATTAAAAAAAATAGTTTGATAAAAATACTCAATTACAATTGCTCAACAGACATATTAATTTGAAAAGGAAAGGTATTGAAGCATTACCTGTACATACATGTTATTGAAGATCAAGATTGAACTAAAGTCTAACTTTTCAAACCTACTATAGAATTTTACTGAATATGTCATTACAAAAAAAAAGTGTAATTCATTTTACAACACAGTTTGAAATACTCGATGTTTTTTCCCATAAATTTTTGATATTAGTTTTAGAGGCATTCGATCTAATTAAAATCAGATCTTCTTAGATTCGTGTAGAGTGTATACAGCAAGAATCTAAAAAGATCTACATGTGTATTTCAATTGGACTGCACAGATATTTTAGATGGGGAGACTGGGCGATTCCCATTGTATATTATTATTTTTACAAGAATGATCTCCTACTGGTTAAAATTGCTGACCCCGAATTCTTCAGAAAACAAAATAGTTTGTGTTTTGTATAAATATCTATGTTCTCAATATTTTCAAGGAGGTCCAAAAAACCCATGGGTAGATTTCATTTATAAAATTTTAACCTCTTGTGGGTTCTCTAACATTTGGTATGAACAAAGTTCCATTGACAGAAATTGGATACTTGCAGCAGTGAAGCAAAGATTTATTCAAAAATGGCACAGTGATATTAATAATTCATCAAAAGGTCAAATTTACAAAATTTTTAAGAATGATTTTGGATGTGAAAAATATCTAAGTGTTTTACCTAGTAAACTCCAAAAAATATTAATAAAATTTAGAACCTCAAATCATCACCTCCCAGTTGAAACTGGTAGATGGTCAAATATTCCATTAGATGAAAGAGTTTGTAAATTGTGTAATACAGGGCAAATAGCAGACGAATTTATTTCATTTTAGAATGAGAAAGAATCTTTTACAACCCAGATATTGTAAAACGCCAAATACACTTACGTTTTGTGAAATTATGTCTACGACAAATTTAAGATCTTTAAAAAACCTTAATATCTAAAATAAACGACACCGTCTGTCCTCCATAATTTAAATGTTACCATACCCTCTGTTCTTTTTTTTATTATTCTTTTTTCATTGTATGTTAATTGCTACATGTATACTTTGCAAATATGTTATGCCTCTCATTTATGCTATTGTATCATAATTATATTTATTTTTCTCACAATTATGACGACTAATTTATATATTGTACCTCATGTACCACTGATGTTGGTGTGAGTGAAATAAATGAACTTGAACATGAAATATACGGAATGGCAATTATCATACGTTTTCTCTAATATCAAAAGTAATTGCATGGAAAGTAGATGACAGATACTTAGCACCTTCCTACAGTTTGCAAGCCCCGAGTTCGAGTGTCATACAAATTCCTTCTATTTACCCATTTGTAGAGCTAAATTGTTTACAATCTTAAAAATGGATGGTCTTGTATATTTTTCTGTCTTCCACTAATTGTAGTAACATAAAATTTTTCAGGGATATATAAAATACAAAATACAGCATTTCTACTTTTAACTTGATAGTTTTTGTCGTTTAATTTGCTAGGAATTTAGGGGGAAAGGTTTTATTTTTTTTTCAACCAGTTTACCTTTTCGCACAATTCATCAACAACTTATTAAAAAATAAAAATTACACAGAATTTTTAAATTCATTTGATATCATTTAATTATATCTTTTCTCCATCTTAACCTCGATATACCAAAAAGCAATTCGGTGCTTTCGAATTAAAGCAAATAAAACTGAAATAGAAACCATCTCGAGATGTATAAAAATATATATATCTGCTGATGTTATTGGATCGTAAAAAATATACAGGATAAATTGGTTTAAGATAACAAAGTGAAACAATATCGATTAAGAATTCCCCCTAAAAACTAGATTTACTAGTGTGAATGACTGGTAAGAATCTCAGAGACATACATTAGAACCCTGGTTAATTTGTAACGACAGTTGGTTTGCTGAGATGCGCCCTACTAATGGTGATGCAGAGTCATATTAACTTCGAAGGAACGCAAGAAACATAAAGAATCTTTTAACAAATTTCATTAGAAATATCACACGTGGAATTTGTTTCATCACAGCGGATAGAACACAGCGAACCCGCTGTTCTGGCTCGCGCAATCCTTCCAGCATTTTGCCTACATTTAGGATTTCATGCTTTTGTAAAATAGGAAATCACTGTGTTCACTTCGACTAAATCAGATACCATCTAAACTCATTGAACATTATTTCAAGAACTTAATGGGCAAACATAAACGTTACTGTTTTTCGCAATTGAGTGTCTTAATGCAATTATGTCTATCATGTTTTCGTTATAGATTCCTAAAAATCAAATTTTCTGTTCGAATCGGTGCCAGATTCTTCAATCGTTACAAACATCTGCGGAAACACAAGTATTTGTCAATCAGTACTTAACGTCAGAAAAGGCAAAAACAGAAACTTGAGTCTCTTTTATAATTTGACAAGGTTTTTTTCTTTAGCAGGAAGCTCCCTCTTTATACCAATTTATAAAGCCTTCTTAAGGCGCATCCCTTTTCTTCAATACTTCTCATTAAAACCAGACTTGAATTCGCGATGTGGCGATTTAAAAAGAAGATTTTTTTTACTTCTTGGTATCTTTCCAGTTTACATCATTAAATCATATTAAAAACAAATGTTGACATCGATAGGAATTTCATATATTTTTTTTCTTCAATCCATAGAAAGCACATTAACGTTCAGAATAGAGAAGAGAAAGCGATAAGAGGGATGGTTTCTTGCGATGAGTATCGTATTTAATCAAGCAGACGTAAGGAACCTTTTATAACTGACAATATCAGATCCTAACGCGAGCATATCTAATGCAAAAACCTCTCTGAAAAAGAACGTATAAACAATGTTGTCTTATCATCGTTGCATCCTTGAATTCCAGCGTAACGATATCGCCTCCGATAAAATATCTTTATCGAGCGATTTACCATCCAGTGTACCCTTAAGTTCCTCTACCAGTACACTAATGGCCTTCCGCTTGTTTGAGAATTATGTATGGGTCCCTTAGCTGCAGTATCTAAGGGTTATGTAACGATTTTGTGGTCTCCGTGATGGAGACTTTTCCAGGCATTTACCGTCCTAATGTCATCATTAATCAAAAGAAAAGGCCACACAAGCCAACTTCTACAGAACTATACAGGAAGGTCGACATGCTCAGCTGGGGATTTTGTTAACAATTTTATTAAATATCTATAATCTTACTCTCCTGTCCCTTGTCCCGTTTACATCATATTGCAGCGACTCTCGAATAGGGTTTTCGGTACAAGATAAACAAGTAAGCCTACAGTCGCCATACCCAAGGCAATTTTCCATAAAATGACAGTTACACAAAAACCAAGTTCTCCATATAGAACTGGAAGTCATCACTGAAAGAAAGATTCTTGGTTTTCTTTTCTTTTTATTAATCCCTTTAAAACCAAAATTATGTACAAAGTGCAAATCTTGTATTATATACGTATGTTCTTGCAGTGCTGGCGGATGCAGTTGAAGCCAATTTTCTTGTCAAAAATATTCTACTTTAAAAATTTTAAATGTAGGGTCATACAGGTCAAAGGGATCATACAATATTGAATTCCTAATTAGAAATCACAACTGAATGCCTCCCCTTTTAGGGTTTCCTGAAAATTATTTCTACTGCCTGATATATCTAGAACTTTACGTTTACACGGGCCATTTACTGCATTAAATTGTCACGTGACTTACTCGTCTTTTTGAGCGAATCCTCTCGTATTGGACAGGTGTGTTTTCCCCAATGGCTCTACTCCCCCAAAGCTCCATCCCCACTCGGGCATACGTCACTGTTAACGTCACCAGCGGAAGTACATACGTCACTATCATAATAAGGACATTATATCTGAAAAAGTAAAGTTTTCGATGAAAACACGACTCACTGATAGCATATTTGTTAATTTGATTGTTATCTATCAGAAATAGACATTATAGCTGACAATCACTGGCATTCCCCAGTAGTGTAATTAACTGTGAAAGCAAATGCTAATTCAACATTCATTTTTTTTATATATGTGGAAACCTTGTAAAAATATGAAATTATAGTTATAGCTTTGCAATATTCGAAAAAATCTTGAGTGCAAAGATATGTTAGATTCTCTACAGAATTTAATGGCATTTGTAAATATAAATCATATAAAGATTAACAGAAATGCCTAAAGGTTCAAAGATACCATATTAACGGAAGTGTGATTCTGAATCCGGTTATCTAAAATATCATCCGATTTTGGAAAATATAACTCTTTCTTCAAAATTAAAAAAAAATGTACATTTCGGGGTTTTAACAGGTCAATGAAATTTAATAATAAAATTTTAATTTTTTTTTTGGGTTTTTTTTTTTTTTTTTTTTTTGGCTTTTTTTGTTTATTGTTTGTTTGTTTGTTTGTTTTTTTTTTGAATCTTTTTTTTTTTTTTTTCAAAATTAAAGTCTTTCACTGTGGATAATTTTAACTCTATTTTTTTCATACATGCATCACTAAATCAACAAGGAAAATAAAATATTGAAAGTATTGCAACGATTTTTTTAAAACTCAGTTGTAAACAGACAATGTAAACCACATCAATAAAGAGTCAATAAATTTGAATCTGGGGGAATTAGGCCAGTCATATGCCTATGCAAGGGAAAGTACAATATCAATCTAAAAAATTCATACAAATTCCAATTTTTGTAAAATTTTGGAATTATCTATAACCATATGCACACAGTAACGATAAAACCTGAATCAAATGACTTAGAAATTGATTGCATTTAACCCACCAAAATGGCAATACTTAATAATTAAATTATTTACCGTCAACAATTATATTTCCTATAATAAACACGTTTTCAAGATATATCATATTTTAAATTGTAAACAATAATGGATAGACCAGTACGATAAGGTTGTTTATTAACACCAACAACAGCTCTACATTAACATTAAGTAAACAATCAACTATAAACATATATTTAACAAATAACACGCAGTATGAAATGCATAACATGTTAAAAGATTCTGTAACGATAACCGCAATGTTTTAAAAACAAAGATATTGTCATTGGGACAGTACTATACAAAGTTTAAATGTTTAAGTAAATCGTACCACTATGAAAATTCTGATATGCTTACAGAGCTTCAAAACCCGTGTGGGCATATGACTCGCCTAATCCTCCCAGATTCTTTAATGATATTTTAAAATCATCCACAAATCAAGCGTTCCATTAAAATAAGAACAGCTGGATAATTAATAGAAGAAAGAAAACGCAGCCTTCAACTTCGACACATTCTATCATCACTAATTCCCAAAAGACATCATTATTTTTGAAAATTACACAGTAACATTTTTACTCCACTTGATTATTTTCATATTATCGAAAAAACAGGAACATTCTTACATCAAAAATTTGGTCAAGGCAGCCCTTTGAAGAAAAGGTAGATTTTATTTGCTCTCTCTCTCTCTCTCTCTCTCTCTCTCTCTCTCTCTCATGAAGTGAAAATGACTTATTTTTAGAAAATTTTTATTTTTAACAGTAATGCAAAATTGGATGTAAGGACTTTTTTTGCAAAGCATAAATGCCGTTTTTCGCCTCTTTACAAGCAATTTATTTTTATATGACTTTGTAAAAAGGTTTGTAAATATTGTATGGCTATTGAGATTTTACGTATGGGAGAGGACTAACTTGTGTCCAATCCCTTTGACATATTGTCAATAAAATATGTTCAAAACAAAAAAAAATGTTTTGCTCTTGGGGGGCCCGAATTAAGTGACAAATCAAAAAGTAAAATAGGATGTAGACAATGGCATTATGTAATTAAGAATCTGTGGTATAGATGGAGATGCAGATGGGTACCCTTCAGTATTATAGAAAAAAAAAGGCAGTGTCGATGTTTTGTTATGGGGAATCCGTAGTATGTGTCCGATCAAAAAGTAAAATAAGAGGTGCACAAACGGCACTATGTAACAAGCAATCTTTAAAGGTATCATTAAATTTCATTCAGTGGTATTAGAGGAGTTGCGGACAAGAGATGGGTACCCCAAAGCGTATTAGACAGACAGACATACAGACAGACGGACTTGCATCCCGATCACTATATACCCTTCCATTTTTCAAGAGGAAGGTATAACAAGGAAATCACGGTATAATAGAAGAATGTAGGTCGTTCATGTCTTCGAGAAACTTAATTCTTGATTTTTTTTATTTAATCAAGGTTCGTCATTATAAGATAACAGCTCAACAATACCTTGGTACCAAGAGTCATTTTCAGGGTTGTTTTGAAATATTATTATTTCTCACACAACCCTGGAATTACTAGGTAAATGAGTTGCGTCAAGCGAAAAGGGACCTTCGTGACATAAACGTAATTACGTCACAATAGCGCTTCAAAGACATGACGTCGCGCCGGTGCGTTTGTCGATAAAAAAGTTTCATACGATAAAGCAAAACAAAAATTTATTTGCGTAATATGAATGTTGAAAAATAGACACGTCTGTATCTGCCCGAAATTCAAAAAAAAGTATTGTACAATGTCGTCAATTTATAGATTTGCTGGTTATTTTTCCCATTTAGAGTGTATTAACTAATTTAATTTTTGACAGTTCATGAATGGCCTTATTCGTGAGAAGTGAAAAATGTTCATGAACAAATCCACATAAGTGTTTACCTCAGTAAGCTCTGAAGAAAATCGCGTCATTGGCATTTCCGGCTGAGCTCCAGACTCTACAGATAAGTGGTCTCCTGCATTTATTTCAATGTTGTTATTTTTTTTGAGGGGGGGGGGGGTGTTACATATTTCACATTCCAGGTTGTTTCTCCGTTAGTCAGAAAGTCAAGTTAACTGATACAAGCATAGTTGCAATAGCATTTTATAAATACATAGTTAGAATAAAACATGAATGCAGCAGCTAGTTAACTGTCTGTAGCAATGTCACAAAGGATGAAGTGAACTTCTGTACCTTCACCTTTGGCGCAGCACTCTGAGGTTTGAAAACTGACGTAATAAAATGCGAAAAAAATCAAGTTGACATTTTCAAAACTAATTTGAAGTCTTGTATTCATTGCCTAAATTTATTGAAATAAATTAAAACTAAACATGGTGACTCTGGGTTAAGCTGATATTTATAACTTAAAGTCGAAAATTAAGAGAGATGATTTAAAATCAGACTGATGTACATAAGTTTGAAGTTTCCTTATTATGTTTAAGGCAAATACAGTAGTTCCAGACATTTTAAGCTTATAATCTTGCATAATATTGTTTAATGAAATGGTTTGATTACCCCCTCCCCCTACACAAAAAAAAACGCCTTTTTTGGATGTGCTTATGTTCGTTTTATATTACCGGGGTACTACGGAAAGGGAAGCTTTTCAAGGATTAATTCCGATTTTTTTCTCTTTCTATCTGTTATTATCTCACTTGATTTTTTTTGTTCAATTAATTTGTTTTTTGTTTCAATTGTGCTTATTCACTTTTACTTTTACGTATTAATTTATTATTAATTTCTTTTTTTTTATTTTGACCATAGCCACTTTGAAAATACAATGGTACATGCACCACCACCGCCCCCCCCCCCTTTTCCTAAAAAAAAACATCGCTCCTATATTTGACCAATTTATTAAGTGCCTGATCATTGCTTCGTTATCCACATCATCAGTCAAGTGGTGATGAATTATTTTGTTTTTCAAACAGTATCTCAATGGTTCCTTTTCTTTCTCATACACTGTATATGTATTTGCAGAGGATCATAAGAATTTCATATTTGGAAGCTGTGCAACCCCTTTGTTAATGTCGCTCAATTTACACTGCGATTGTGTAATCAATGATTATTTACACTTGTGCATGTTGTGACCTATTAATAATATCGTCTGATGAATCCTTTTTTTATCCCTGTAAAATAACGTACTTTTATAAAGTCCTTTCCCACAAAAGAAGATGATTTCTATATGTGTCTGTTTACTGCATATGATTTTATAAATATAATTTTTTTTTCGAATCAGGTATTGGAGATATTTGGAAATTTTTATTTTAAGAATTACCGACCCTGTCAGAACCTGAATATAAGAATAAAAAGTTGGATTTGAAAAAAAAAAATTAACTATACGTTTTGTAAATTAGATCCTATAATTATCATTGATTCGTGCACGTGACTTCATTTCTTTTTTTTTTTTGGGGGGGGGGGGGGTTATCACTCGGAGCTCCTCGGATGGCTTGTACCTGTTTGATTGGAGTGAAGCGGAGTCAGCCGAGGATTGTCGATTGTACACATCACTCGTATGCATAATAAATAATGCCAAGAATAAATTTAAAGAAATTTCTTCCGATGGAAGCGTGTATATACGTATAATTTATTGTTTGTTTTTTCAGGGGATGAGGCCCATGTATTTTATTCCATTTATTGTTCTCACTGATACAGCTGAATATGAATAAAACTGATTGTTTACATCGCCATGTACATGTATGTAACTGTGTATCAACTGTTTAGATTGTACAGTTAGAATGTCATCCGGTACCAGTGATTTGGTCAAAAAGATATTGCATGAAACAACGTACCAACTCGTGACTGAATGGCACAGAAGCAAAGCTTATACATACGTTAATTATATATATACGATTTTAGTATACTCCAAAAGTATGAATTTAACGTCCGACTTTTAATATTGTCCAACTGATTGTTTTGCATCAAATGTAGATATATAGATAACTTTTTAGTGCTAAACAAATTCAATTCCTCGATATTTTTAACATGAGAATAAAACACAATATTTATCTTTAGCAAAATTTAAACAATCACAAGCACTGAAGTAACGTGTCTTTGTTCCAAGCACAACGTGCCCGGTGCATTTTTGAAGAACCCCCCCTCCTTCCCCCA